CTGTCTGAGCCTCCGCCCGCCCGCCTCTCTGTCTGTCTGAGCCTCCGCCCGCCCGCCTCTCTGTCTGTCTGAGCCTCCGCCCGCCCGCCTCTCTGTCTGAGCCTCGGCCAGTCTGTCTGTCTGAGCCTCGGCCCGCCTGCCTGTCTGTCTGAGCCTCGGCCCGTCTGTCCGCCTGTCTGTCTGTGCCTCGGCCCGCCTGCCTGTCTGTGTTCACCTTGATGTGTTTGTATGGATTCATTTTCATTTAATTTTATTTTATTCATATTTTGCTTGTGACCAAGATATATTCTATGTTTGGCTTTCCTGCGATGGTTTAGGAATCATTAATTCCATGAGTATGAATGTGGAAAGGAAATTTCCACAATATGTGTATGTGTTTTGATTTGCCTGCAAGTTATTCTTTCTTTTTTTAATTTTTATGGAGCTCATAATATTCTCAGACAATATTTGCTTTTCTAAATGGGGAAATATTCCTAACGCTGGTCTGGCGCGCCGTCCTCGCTCTGGAGCCTGAATTCCTGCTCTCTGGATGTCATGCAGGACCTCTCACTCTCTGTATCCTCTTCAGGGTCTGGATGTGCTGGAGATCATGAGGAACATCCACGTTTTTGTGTCACGCTACCTGTACAACCTCAACAATCAGGTAAGCGTCTGTCCAGTGGATTTTGACCTTTCGGTGCGTGCTGTGCTCTGTGCTCAGGGTCATTTATGTGATATTCGCTGGCGGTGGGTGTGTCCATATGGCAGATCTTTATCGAGAGGACCAGCAACAACAAGCACCTGAACACCATCAACATCCGCCATATCGCCAACTCCATCCGCACCCACGGCACCGGAATCATGAACACCACTGTAAGTCTCGGGGGGAAGTGGATAGGAGTGAGACATTGGGCGTGGAGATTAGGAGAGTGCTATACAGCTCGGGGGGGAAACTTGGGGATCTTAAACCGTATGAGAAGGAAGGATGGTTCTGCGTTATAGAGCCGTTTTCACCAGAGGTGTTCGCTGTATCCTAAGGGTCGCCTGACTGTACTCTGAAGTCATTTTCTTGGTCCGCCAACAGGTGAATTTCACATACCAGTTCCTGCGGAAGAAATTCTACATATTCAGCCAGTTCATGTACGATGAGCACATCAAATCCAGGCTGATCAAGGACATGCGCTTCTTCAGGGAAACCAAGGATCAGTCTGATCAGAAGGTTAGCCACGTCTTTCTCAGCCGCTTGGCCCTTCCACGCCTTTATGTCCTCAGGAGGTGTTGTCTGGGGTCAGTCCCACACTCTGCTGCCCAAATGGAAATGTGATGTCATCGAAGTCCTTGGTTCAAGAGAATCTTCCTTTTAGTGTGTGACATTCCCGAAAATGACCGATATTAGAAGAACGGGGTTTACATTGGCCAGATTACTTTGGTTGCCACATAAATATGTCCTTCAAAAAAGCAAAGAAGGATAAAAATGATGTGGGAGTTTTTTTTTCGAAGCAGATATACCAAAGTTAAGATGATAACCATTTTGAAGTGTAGCAGGAAGAGTTGGCTGACTGTTTTGCTGGAGTCTTGCTGGTTCTTACCGAATCCTGTCCCCCTCGTGTTTGTGGCCGCCTACAGTATCCCTTCGAGAGGGCTGAGAAGTTCAACAGGGGCATCAGAAAGCTGGGGATCACACCTGACGGCATGAGCTACCTGGACCAGTTCAGACAGCTGATCAGTCAGATAGGTATGGAGATGGCCATCCAGGATGTGTCACACCTGAGATGATAGACCCCATGGGCTCATGGGAGTTTTACTTACACAAAAATGTTCTGAGAGCAGAATGAAAAATGATTGGTTCAGAGAGATAACCGATCAGATTGTAGAGGAGGTCAGTCCAAGCAACTAGAGGAGGCTGGACCAAGGTATCTGATTGGTTGGTCCTGTCTCTAGTTGCTTGGACCCATCTCCTGTACATCTGATTGATTATCTCTCTGAACCAATCATTTTTCATTCTGCCTTGAGAACGTTTTTGTTTAAGTAAAATTCCCACAAGCACCCTATGGAGGGTGAGGGCGGCAGTCTGTCTGGTGGTCTGTCTTTTCATCTCTTTTCCTCATGTCCATGTTAGTTGACCCTATCCAGATCTACCACTCAGAGCACTGAAGCAACATGAGGTGTGTATTAAAGAGGTTCCCTGAGTGGGGACCTCCCAAACCGAGGTGATTTCCAGAGTATTTACAGAGTTTAAAAGTGAAAAAATTCGATTGTAACCGTAAATAGTCAGTAAATCTGCTGCCCCCCGGCCTCATTCCCGGTCAGCGAAACGTACTGAGGGGACCCCACCCCCCAACAGGCAAAATGAGGGTCACGAGTCTTTATTTTAGGTTTCATGGGCTGAAATGTTTGGGAATCCATATATTTGAGGATAAGGTAGAAATGCTGTCATTGTAGCCAAATTAACTGATCAGCTAATTGAATCCTTAAGATTAGCTGCTGGAGCAGACACCTGCAGCCTGTTCCCTGGTGTCTCTCAGTGTCAGATTGGGTATGAATGCCATGTATTCTCACCTGGGCATGTTTGTGATCAAGTGACTAACCTGAGTTGCTCTCGCCCCACCAAGGCAACGCTATGGGCTACGTGCGGATGATCCGCTCCGGGGGCCTGCACTGCTGCAGCAACGCCATCAGGTGCGGACAGCAATGCCCACTGCTGAGCGGCTCGGGTGTTGTCCTGGGGAGTCTGCAGGAGATGGGGGGCTTTATGGATACGGACTTTGGGTTCCCCCCAGTTATCTAGGGCAGTGTTACCCAGTCTGGTCCTCGGGGGACCTACTGACAGTTCACATTTTTGCTCCCACCCAGCAGCTGGGAGGGAGCAAAAATGTGGACTGTCTGGCAGGGAGCTGGGAAGGAGCAAAAACATGGACCGACTGTGGGACCCTCCGGATTGGGTTGGGAAATACTACTCTAGAACTATCCTGACCATGTCATGTTATACCTAATAGTATTATTACTGCTAGTACTACTACAGTAAAATAAGAAAGAAAATGAGGAATTCTTGTCATATTTAACTCTGCATTGACCAAACATACCTGCACATTCTCCTCCAGGTTTGTTCCCGACCTGGAGGACATTGTCAACTTCGAGGAGCTGGTGAAAGAGGAAGGCTTGTCCGAGGAGACCCAAAAGGCTGCAAGGTAATGGGCACGACTTTCAGCCGTAAAGCCCAAAACCAGCCATCAGGCTGAGGGCAGAAGCACAGAGAGCTTTAGGAGGCTCCAGGTTTGCAGGTCCTGAGTGATCTTCTGTTGTAGAATAATTGCTTGGTCTTTTTTGACAAACTAAGAGATGGTTATATAAATCTTCGCATAGGTATGTTTCAGTACAGGCGATGGCCAATGGTCTTGTGTTGCCAGTTCCATTACACTATAATGTCTTTGTTTGCTGTACAGTGTCCTAGACTCTGTGCTCAGCGATCTGACCAGTAACTCTGCAGAGGGCACGGAGTACTTCAAAATGCTGGTTGACGTCTTCGCCCCCGAATTCCGCAGCGTGAAGAACATGCACCTGCGCAACTTCTACATCATCGTGCCACCCCTGGTGAGACCTCGAGTCCTCCTGAAATCGCACCCCGCAGGTGGCTTTGGCCGTTCCTCGTAAGCAGCAGTGGGGACATTCTTCCTGGACCTCTGGCCCTAGTGCTGTGTCCTCCTCTCGTAGACGGTGAACTTCGTGGCGCATTCCATCGGCTGCAAGGAGAAGCTGAACAAGAAGAATAAAGGAGGAGCTGCATTCACCGACGACGGCTTTGCTATGGGTGAGCAAACGGCCGGACATTCGATCAGCCTGAGGAATTCTTTGACCTGCAGTCGTTGGTCTATGTTTTTCTTCTGACCCATGGAATTGTCAGATCTGCTCATATGGCACATCTGAAGACTCTTCCTCAGTTCATCTTATGTATCTGTATTCCTTTGTGTACCACAGGGGTGGCCTACATCCTGAAGCTTCTGGATCAGTACCAGGAGTTTGACTCACTGCACTGGTTCCAGGCGGTGAGGGAGAAGTACATGAAGGAGAAGAATGCCGTGGTCAAGGAGCAGAACGTGCAGGCCACCAGCCAGGACGAGAAGCTGATGCAGACCATGAACCTGACACAGAAGAGGCTGGATGTCTATCTACAGGTAGGCAAAGCCTGGGGGGTGTTTCACACAGTAGGATTTCTTGCTTAGCGGGGTAACTTGTTGGATTTAAGGTAGCTTGGGCTAAACTATCTTCACTCACTCACAGTTAGCTCGGACTACCTTAAATCCAAGAAATACGTGTACGGTAAATAAATTATACAAGATACACAAAGGATTACGATGTGAAAAAGGAATTCGGTTGAGTTGTTTTGACATCTGTCAAAGTGGCATCCTCTGCAATGGTCTCTCTTCTCCTCCAGGAGTTTGAGTTGCTCTACTTTTCCTTGAGCAGTGCCCGAATCTTCTTCAGGGCTGACAAGACGGCGGCTGAGGAGATCCAAGAGAAGAAGGACAAAGGTAAACAATGACACGCCAGACACTCCTAGATTCAGCAGTGTAGATGTTCTCTGTTTGGCCAAGGGCGTTTTCCAAAGAAAGATCCAAGACAGTGCGGACCCTGGATCTAACTTTTATGGATGGTCTGCAAAGCGCCCGTGAGAGGTGTTTGGTCTGCGGTGGGACGTGAGACGTGTTTGGTCTGCGGTGGGACGTGAGACGTGTTTGGTCTGCGGAGGGACGTGAGAGGTGTTTGGTCTGCGGAGGGACGTGAGAGGTGTTTGGTCTGCGGAGGGACGTGAGAGGTGTTTGGTCTGCGGAGGGACGTGAGAGGGTTTGGTCTGACCTTAAGTTAGTCTCACAGCTCCTGTACTGAAGCTTCAGTTCTGGCCCCTCAGTATCTCCTCGTTTGTCCATTTATTGGGCAGCAAACATTTCTGATGTCTGTCTCTGCTTCCATGGACCACCTGACGTTCCGATACAAAGTGAATGTGGACTCTCGTCTTTCTCACCCGTTTGCAGCTATGGATATGGTGAAGATAACGCTGTTCCCTCATGCTTTTTTCTTCTCAGAGGAGGCCTCCAAATCAGGGCCTAATGCAACCTCTGGTGGCCCCGACCCTTCCTCCAGCCCTTCCGCGAAATAAGACGTGGCCTGGAACGCAGTGGAGTGAATGGTCCCCCCCAGCAGGGGGCATGTCGCGCCGGTTAAGACCACACTACATGCAACCCTTCCCGGGACTCTGACTGGTCCTGGAAAGTGCGCTCTCTCTTCCCGCACTGGGAGGTGTGAGGCAGGACTCTGGACACCGTGTTTAGGTTGATGCATGCTGGGTAAGAACCTGTGCTGCCTGGAACACACCTTTCAGTACCGTGCACTTATCCTGGAGGGGGATTAAAAACTGGCTCCGCCCATTCCGCAGATAGCCGGCCTGTACCTTCTCCGCTTCCTCAGACGATGCCCCACTCAGACTTTATACTGCTTTTAATAAAACTCCTGTTGTACGTGTAGTTCTGCTCCGGTCAGTTATTGAATCGGGCCTTTACTTGATGAGTGAATGTTCCTGGGAGGCTGGGGTTTTAACATTTTTACTGCTGTGATTCAGGCATGTTTAAAGACCAATGGAGACTCCCTTTTTCGACTCTGGTGTTTGGTAAGGATTCTTTACTGAAAAGTCGGCACAGTGATAGGCAGTGCGGGTGCTCTGGAGTCTTGGTGAGAAGGACAGGTGCGGTTACATACAAACATTAGGAACCATTATTTCACCATCTTGTTCTTTTCCTTTGCCAGTGATGAGGCTCATTCCCAAACTTAACCGTGCATTTCAGAGCGAAAACACTATGCAAGATGTCCCATAATCAGAGGGAATTATATGGCCAGTTTCCCAGTCAAGGATTAAGCCTAAGCCTAGACTAGCCATTGATACTGCAATTTAGTCCAAGACTAGGCTTAATCCTTGTTTGGGAAACTGGCCCATAAGGTTTTAGATTGGATCACAGACGTATGAAGTTTAGTATAGTCATATTTTATGCTGTGTCCCTAAATGATATCACACATTATAAATACGTCTCTTGTTAGTGAAGGTGAGGGTTTTATAGAACCCAGACATCTTTAAAGATGCAAGTGAATCTGAAAGAACCTCACACGTAAATCTTTTCTGTCGCTACCCATTTACTTTTTAACTCGTTTGACTGCCTGCATCTATAACTGCATCAGGCATTTAATTTGATCTTTCAGCAGCTATAGCGAGGTGTTCTTTTTCGATTTCCACGTAAGAATGAACAGACTGGTTTGATTTGCTGCTCCACACCATCCCTACACCCAGTGCAGGGAATCCTACAGTAACAAGTGGCAGAATAGGTTTAAACCCAAAGCAGCACTCGAACGCCTCTGCTGCTTAAGTGACGTGGAATCGCTGGGAAATGTACATAGCTGTTTACATGTAGGCACTGATGATGACGCTACCTGATCTTGGTTGGGTACTAATAGCCACTTAATTTCTGTGGCAAGTTTCAGTTCGGTTTATTTTTGGGAACAAAATACCTTTTTGTATTAAAGTGTGCTTAATAATCATGTGTAGCAGCAGAGATATTGTGATAAACATTGAACAATAAAAAAGGTTTGTTTTTTTTTCCAAGTTTGCATTTAACCGTGCAATTATTGCAGTTTAAGTACTTCTGTACCATGCAAGAATTGTAAGATTATTAGGCGTCAAGAAGGCATCTGAGTATCTAGTGTAGCGAGTGCTTGGATGCATCTGTGCATGTCTGTGCTGTGACAGATCAAACATTAAAGGGGAATATAATTTATTATAATTCACTGTAACACTTGGAAATGACACAGACAGTGAGTAACACCACTGGCCTATGGGTGTCCATCTTTAGGGCCGCTGAGCGCCGGCACAAATGTGACCGGTCGGTGTGGAGGGGAATCCGAAAGTGAGCCGCGTGGGTTTATGGAGCCCCGGCTTGCCAGAGGCTGCTCTGGGGAAAAATATACTTGAATGAGAAGCCAGAAGACTGAGTGTCTCCCTCCCAAACTGCCGTGGGCTTTGGAACGTTACAGGAACCGGATTCCAGCTCCGAACTGCACGCCGTCGCATATCCTGAAGTGAGAGAAAGGACAACTTCTGACTGATTCAAGAATCAATACTTGGCAAGACTTTAAAATGACTCTTCATTCGCACAAACTATCTGCCTTCATCCCCTTATGAAGCCTGAATAAGCTACGCCACCCATCTGTATACACATAACCACTGTCAGTAGCTGCCGTAGCTGATCCTGGGGCTATACAGCTCATCACGCAGTACCTGTCTCCGCTCTGAACGCCCATCGGGACACAGTAGTTGAGCTCCAGCCTGGCGATATTGCCCAGACGCAGCACGATGCCCGCCCCGTACGACCAACGGATGCACTCTGCCAGCTTCTGCAGGTGGGATCGCGGACCTTCGCCTGAATGGGTGACACCAAGGAGCCCTTCTGCATTATTACATCTGCATCAAACTCAAGAGCCACATGTATGGCGATTCACCCTCAACTGACAGGCATCAGAGCAGTGCACCATCAGCTTCCTCGTACATCATGCCATGGTTTTACTTTCTGCTCCGTACTCACCGTAATCCAGTCTGCACAAGTTGCCAGCATTTAGGAAGAAGTGCATCCTGAAGAGGTCACCAAATCCACCTCGGCCCGGACGGAAGGGGAGAGGGGTGTACAGGTGTGCCCCGCTGGCCCAGAACGCCTCCCCGCCCAGGTAGTCGCCTGTGAAGCAGCAGCGTCTCAGCAGAACCCATGACTGGAGCTACAAGCTCAGTGGATCTTGTGTTAATGCTCTTTTGGATTTAGTTGTAACCCAACCAAATAGAATTAAAGCTCACCTTCACTCTGGGGGCCAATGCTATACATACTAAACCCCCTAACGCTGGTGGGGCCACCTAGATAGAACCTGAGAGGGAGGCAAGAAGATTATTCAAAACAGTGAGACTTGTAGATCACCCAAGCCACCTGCAGGCATACAGTGGTACAGTCTGACACGGAGCCTATCATGTAGGAGTTACCTGTCTGCAATGCAGGTGGGCTTATCTCCAATGGGAAGGAGCATACCACCCCACAGAGAGGCAGAGAGAACCTGTGGAGGACAGCTCAGCCGAGTTAACCTTATACCATGAAGTACAAGATACAGGCCAAGGCATGACGACCCAAGGCTACAGGTTTGCAATTCCTGAAATTCTTCTGTATACCAGGACAAAACATTGTGATATTTTGAGCTACGTTGGCCACTCAGTATTCATGTCAATCGTGCTTGGGAGAATTCCTAAGTGAGATACGAACGTTCATGTAAATAGGGAAGCGTCTACTCACAGAATCCCAAAAGAGTCGCCTGTTGAGCTGAATCTCAAAGTCCTCCTTCAAGAAGCTGACGTCGCCCCCCGTGTAACCAGCCAGCTCCTACAAAACCAAAAGCACAGGCTGGCATTGTTCGTACCCAGCAAGCTTGCCTGCCTGCGTTGTTCAATTCGGCCAAGTTGGATGTTCACACACCTGGTTGATCTTGAGTAAGATGCCCTTCTTCGGGAGGATGGCGGAGTTCCTGGTGTCAATGACCATGGCATGCTGGGAAAACAGTGTGCGCTTGTATCAGTCGCTATATGTCACTTGTGAATGGTTTAGATCAGAACAGCTTCAGAGATGAAAGCTAAATGAATAGTAGAAGAAGAAAATGGATATCTGTACCGAAAGTGAGGACTTGAGCGAGTGGCCGCTCTCCTCACGGACAGCAAAGGAGGCCGTACGCGCCAGGCATCCCAGCTCCCTCCAGACTCCCTCCCACTTGAGTGTGTGGTTGGTCTTCCAGATGGGGAACTGAGGTAAGAGAACCCACACGTCAATCACCTCTGTATCCTCAACCACTGAAGTAGAATCAAAAGAGCCAGAATTGGCAGACTTCTCAAATAACCATCATAATATTATGGTATCAGTGGTTCTGAATGCCATTGCTATATGAAGACGGAGGGTATTACGTTAAACTCTGTGGAGATGCCGCGATCGGTCTCTCTCAGCGAGCTCCACGGGAACTGCCCTGTGACCTTGTACAGGTTCACAGAGACACTGAAGAGGAAAACAAGCAAGGTTGGACCTACGACGCTGGTAAGTGAAAAAGGGAAAGTGACACCACTTTAAAGAACTAACATTGTTGTGAGGTGACACCTATCCTTGGTGATAATTTCATAGTGTTTAGCCTCACAAGCAACAGCTGGCCGCCATTAATGTGGGGGCAATGAAATCTGGAAAAAGAACTACTCAGCTTAAACCTTCAATAATGTGGTGGTTGCAGCTGCGTTTGCTTTCAGACGTACTTGCGGTCAAAGTGTCCTGGCTTTGGTTTGAAGAAGGACAGGCCGTAGGAGGTCTCTTTGGTACCATAGGAGAACTGAAATGTTAGCTTTTCAGCACGGCCCAGAATGTTGGGAAGCTTGAGCCCCAGTACCTGGAAGGCATACCAAGCAGTTCAAGTTCCACAATCCATTCTGCATTAGGTCAATATGAGGCTTCACCCAGCCTGAAGGTGCATCAGATGGCTCCAGTCCCGTACCATGCTGCCCTCGTTGTTGCCAACCATAGTGTTGTAGCTTCCGGTCAATCTTCTCAGCTCTGTGACTTCGAAAGTGACATCTAGCCCGTTTGGCAGAGCATCTTCTCCTGTAAGGGAGGGGGGACACAGTATTTCAACATGAAATCTGGTGCAGAGGGACCCATGAGTCGCTATAAAAGCATAGTCGATAGCCAAGTCTCACATTGCTCTCAAGAGGAGGGGCCAGGTCAATAATGCATGAAATTCAATATCATGTAGGACAACTCAAATGTGGATTTTTTTTTTAATAATTCATGCATGAAAGCATTAAATTTCCACTAAAAACTCATTTCCCAAACTTAAAGATGTAATGGGGATAATTATTGCTACTTAATTACCTTCTGAGGTGTCTATGACAACTTCCACTTTCCTGAAGATTCCCAGATGCAGCAGTTTCTCTCTAGCATCATGGGATTTCTTCATGACCTGGGCCACAGGAAGTTGAAGGAATTAACATCTCCCAAATGAAAATGAACTGAAACTAAATGTGTCTTTCATGTGGAATGTAATAAAATGTGATGTTCCCACAGTATATTTGACCAGACACCTCTCCACGATTAAACTTACATCAATTAGGTTTTTGGCGGTAAAGACGTCAGCAATTTCATACCCCAGAAGGTCCTCTTTCGTTCTCCCCAAACCATCTATATGTACACGTTGGACTACGACCTGCACAAAATAATCATGCGTTTTAAACTTTGTTACATAATCCTTAAGTACGGAATAGGTAACATCAGACACACACAAAAACATGTTGCATTGGTAATATCTCAACCCATGACATTTACGCATCAGATGTCAAAAAAACCTCACGTCTTTGTTTTCAAGAACTTCTTGTTTAGTTTCTGGTTCCACATCAATGACCTCCACATCATCGGCATGCACCCCCAGATCTGGTCCTTGCATCGGGAGGGGGTCGAGGCTCTGAATAAAAGTAAACATTGTTTTCATTCTCGCGTTTACATATGCAGATTTACCTACAAGATGAGATTTCAAACGATTCTACATATACAAATGCTTTACCATAATATTATGATCGAACAAGTTGCCATCGCAATATTTTTCTAAAATCCCTACGTATTGCGTTTCACATTAAGCTTTATCACAGTTAACGAACCGCCCTCGACACATTAGCTTTAGTGTCCGGCTACTGGAATACAGGGCCTACCGAGCACACCAAGCGAAGGGACAAGTTAGCTTATAGCAACCAGAGGTCATGCAGTCAGTTTTCACCCATTCCGTAACTCAAACAGCATATTTACCCTGGCGTGAACAGTCCCCATGTTCGTTTCCCAGCCTCGGGGAATATGTCACCTTGTGAATGATCTACGAGCACGCCTAGTTCCAAAAATTTTATATATAAAAATACAAGCTGATCTATTCCAACTAGTCTAGCAGTTATCCACGGAGGACGCCATGACACCTACGAAGTCCACCGTACTGCAACGTGATTGGTTAGATCGTCGCCCTATGTCATCAGAAGGGGCGGGGTCATATTTTAATAGATTCGGGCGACTTCGGTATTCAACGTTTGCCCCTTAATAGATCTTTGGTTGTAGTTTGTCACTGTAATTAAATTGCAGGCGAAATTCGTTTGCGCACAATCAGAAAGAGACGAGTAAATAAAGGCACACAACAACGCACATAAAAAATTTAAAATTGTATGTCGCGATTCACCTGTTTCGAGTTGCTGGACCACAGTAAGCATATACAGCAGGAACTCCGCTATACGGACCTGTTTTAGTGATGTAGTTTTGGAAAAGATGCAATCGCAAGGCACACACTTTATGGACATCTTAGAGATTCTACTTCTCCTAAATATTTTGGACCTAGGGAGCAAATTCCCCGCATCGTGGGAAGAGCTAGCAAATGGGAAACCCAGTCTCTGGAAGTATGAGGTAGTGATCCATAGCATTGCAACAGATTACAGGAACATCTTTTTTGTCTATAGTATACGACTAATTTTCGGATTTGCTTCATACTGAACCACTAGGGGGCCCCATTTAGCCTGTAAAAGATTCGCTTCAAAGAAGGAGAATTAAACTGCTGTCTGAACAGCTGGGCATATGAAGAGTAATGGTCTCAGATGTGGCGTTTGAGTCAGTCCTTCAGTTGTTGACTAGCAGTTTCCGATAATCCGATTATTTAGTCGTTTTAGTGAAATGCGATGTTTTTCCTCCTCGAGGGAGCCAATCTCTGAATGATCTCTCCGCAGGAGAAGGGCTTAGCCTCACCGACTTAATAATTCAAAGTAAATTAACTTCTTTCAAAAACATTTGCTTTTCATTTGCTTTTGAAGAATGCTTCTTGAGGGGGTTCTTTCTAAACACATATAATCCTGCAGGTGTACTCAGACCAGACGTTGTAACTCAAATGACTATCTTTTAAAAACAACTGTGTACATTGGCAAAATTATAACAATACATAATTTTAATAACGACGTTTTGTGCACCAATCATATTCGTCAGATATAGCGTACTTAATTACAACCATTTCAGGTGTAATCCGAAGATCAAGTAATGATGGAAGAATGATATGTCAATACAAAGTCCTAGCCACAGGGAAAAAAAGCTTATTTAAATACATATTCTAGACTATAATATCATTGAAAGTTTCTGTTTTATTTGTAATTTTAAGTTTTGTATTAAATTAAGAAAAGGAAATTCGTACAAATTGTCCCTTTTGCGTACCAGTAGTGTGTTACAACTATTGTGTTAATTAAAGATAGCCACTATAGGTTATGGTTACGCGTACCATTAATTAGATTTTACTCAACAGCGTATTTAATGTATCAAATTAAGTTCACAGATGAATATTAGAAAGGTGTATATTTGTTATATATTCTAAATTTCTATATTATTTATTAAATCAAAGGAAGCGAATCAAGTGGACACTAGGTAATATGCCTTGTATTTCTCGTATTATGCAAAAGTAATACGGGCTTACAAACGTTTAACTGCTAAAGCAAGCTGATACATTACAAATGCAACGTGTAAGGACTTGTCAGTTAAAAGCTCTATATTACAGGGGTTTCAGCAAAATACAAGTTTTTGTACTTTCATCACATAGCTGAATGAAAGTGTTTCAGTCACTGATTTTTCGGGGAAATATTTTTTAATTTTCTATCCGTCATCATTCATGCTAGGCTGATAAAACGTCAGGGTGTCTCTGTGCGGGGGGGGGGTGCTATTGGGTCATTGTTAGCGAAGAAAGGGTTCTTATTTCTTAATGATGAGTTTTCTGGCGGATCTGAATACTCAGAGGTTCCGCCCATTGGTAATCAATAGAGCTGGCTTTCCCTTTTCCCCTCTCTCTTTCTCTCCCTCTCTCTCTCTCTCCCCCGCACCTCCTTATCTCCTCCTCAAATTGTGCCGGAGCCAATCAGAGCGCGGCATGCGGCTCGTGAGTCTCGCTGTTCCCCCCTCACTGCCAGTACCAAAGCGCTTCTCTTATCAAAGAAACACAACCGAAAACTGCATTCAATCACCGCTTTTAACATGGGGACTGCTTGTTTTTTCTGGGACTTCTGTTTGTTTTTCGTCCTCATAAATACTTGTGCTGTGACGGGAAACGCTGGACTTGCAGGTACGCTCCTTCTCCTCTCAGCCCTCCCCAACCTCCGTCTGGCATATAATTTAAAAACATTTCTGACATGGCTGTATTTTATTTTCATCAGCATTTAATTGACGTGTTTTATATATGTTTTTAAAATAAGCGTGATAGCATTTCACTAAGATAACGTATTATCTAATTCCTGACACGTCTGCGCATTGTAGGCATAATTAATTGAAATTTAATTGATTTGTGAGGCAGAATTAACTTTTAGAATCATTCAAGACTTTCTGAGACCAGCGAAGGGGAAAATTAAGAAAAAAACTAATCTCATTATCAGTCATGGCAAGGACTATACTGCTTAACAGATAAGTAGATACATTTACAGTGAAGTAAGGTTAAATTTTGTTTTATCGTTTTGCATTTCTGCATTTTACTTTTTTAATTAAAGGGAAAGAAAATATTAATGTTTATTTTTAGCAATGTAGAAATTCAGTTTAACAATGCATACATTTATCTTAGCCGTACAGAAGTGGAGTATGGTCATTGAGCAAATATTCCAAGTTTCAACAAGTTTATTATTTTGAGTCTCTTTATTTTAACTTAAGTTAGTAGCAAATAAAGCTTGATGAAGGGTTCACTGGGCGCACATTCATGAGGGAGAAGAAGGAGTTAGCGCTGGATGTGTGTGCTTCGTTTTCTGAGTTCACCCAGCTGTCAGCCCGCTAAATCTGTAAGATTGGTGCTAGTTAATGACTCAAAATATGACACGGCACTTTTTCTCTTCTGCTTCAATGAGTGGCGCCTGTTATGCGATAAAGCTCATCTTCGGCCGCCTCGGTAAACACGCCCAGAAGGTCCCTGCGGATGAAGCCGCGGTGGCAAATTAACGGTCCGTCAGGGTCTGAGAAGGTGTCGGTGCGGGTATCGACCGCCCGCGTCTCGCCTTTGTTTCTCTCAATACCCTTTCCGGGGCGAGAAGGAATTATTCAGATAGGCGTCATATACATAAAGTAGCATTTTGTCAGTTATTTTCCTTATTACAAATAGAATTTTTCTGAGATTCTGATTTGCTAAATGTATGGTTATACCAGGAAGTATTCGACAAAAACTTATTTTGTACGATTTTTTTTTTCGAATTTGTCTGCTGCGTATTTTTAATATTCTTTTTATGTGAGGAATTATTTCTCTTGTCAGTTCATTTGTTGCATCCTCTTGTATTAAAGTATGCTGAATACTGCTGCTATAGGGAAAAGTAAAATTGAAAATATTAAAGGTAATTTGGCATTAAGCGAAATGCCTCACAGAGAAGAATATAAACCCATGAATACTGGAAGCCCCCGTAGGCTTAATGTATGTACGTTTATCTTGGGATAAGTTGGTCAATCAAATATGGGGAGAGTGTTTTTTGAATTTCTTTTTTGTGGGAATATCATAGTATAAATGTAATTTAATTTTACTCTTATTTTGCGTATTGTTGCACTGGGCAACCGGCCAGCCACTGTTCAGCCCAGGCAGATGATGGGTCAGTGCGCCGCGCACAGTGACTTTCTCCCGCAGAAACACACAGGCTTTGCTGCCTGCTGCCCATTTTTATATCGATGAAGGACGAGATTGCGAGCTGAGCAGCGGCTGAAGTTGCGCTCCAACACAAACCGTCGGGCGGCTAGTTGAAGAAAAATGGGAGCTTTGCTCCTTGGGGAGACAAAATCCTTTGCTTTCTTACCAATTAAAACCGCGAATGAGATGCTATTAAGTTCTCGATGCCATCGGATTAGACCCAGATGTGACTTGCCTCCCCTAACAATGGCCGGATCATTTAAGACCTGATATGCAGAAACTACTGGTGTCATACTGAAAAAAGACCGGGGGCGGTTCAGTCGTGTGCTGCCGGATTTAATGTTTTACTGATTTTTTCTCTCTCTTTTTTTTTTCAAATTCTCAAAAAATCGGGAAAAAAAACAGTCAGATTAATCGTGGTTGATATCGATTCTTTTTTTTTTATTCTGAATTGAAGAGAGGAAATGCGTTTGAATTGGTGAGTTTCTGCGAGTAATTATTTTTTATCAATAAAAAATAATTGAAACCAAAGGATTGTTGTTCGTTCGATATAAATTATAAGGGAATTACTAAAAACTTCTTTACAGAATTCAAGTAATGTTCTCTTTATGGAAAAATCAAGTAGAGGGTGGGGTTTTCATATTTAAGTGGCACAAAATATCTTCCCATTTTTATTGATTTATTGAAGAAATGTCATTTTGCTATTACAGGACACATCTATTGCAAATTATCTATCCATTTTTGACCTATGTACGGCCCCAGGGAGCCGCGCTGCATGGGGTTTGACGCAGAGAGAGAGTCACCATGCACAGGGAGCCAGTCTGTCAGGGGACACACACTGTAGACCAGGGAGAGTCATTAGCTGGCCTGTCTGCATGTCTGGGTTGTGGGAGGAAACCTGGTCCACAGCGATACCCACTGAACCACCACGCTGCCCCCAGATTATTAAGCAAAATTTTCATGTAAAAATTTGGATGTTTTTTTTTTTGTTTTACTTTAACATTGCCTGTGGAATCTCCATAATCACACACAAGGAATGTTCTGTTATCGTTGCATCATTTTGGCATCATCTCTCCGGTTCATTCCCCCCCCCCCCCAGATGTGGACGAATGCTCCGAGGGCACCGACGACTGTCACATCGACGCCCTCTGCCAGAACACGCCCAAGTCCTTCAAGTGCATCTGCAAGCCAGGCTACAAGGGCGATGGCAAGCACTGTGAGGGTAAGAGATCCCCCCCCCCCCCCCCCCCAGGCACCTTTCTCCTAAAGCCGTTTGATTGGGACCTGGTGAGTGTGAGGTGACGACGCACACACGCCCGATCACCTAGCCATTTCGCGAGAAAGGGCTGCGCCGTCGTCCCCTCCCCCCTGCTGCCCCCCGCCGGCTACCCTAATTACCCGAAAGGAAGTGGATTTAGGAAGGTGTGAGGCTGAGGTGCCGTGGCACTATGGATTCACACCTCGCCTGAGTTCCCCCTTAAGATTGCCAGCACTGGGCTAATACACACGTCCGAAATGGACAGGCCTCTCACGTTTCAAGCTGTGCTTTAAATGAGCCGTTATGTCTAAGTGTGACTAGTTCTCACTGCATCATCGCCTGTATGCCATCTCTTTGCACGGGGAGAGGCTGAATGTGGGTGCATTCCACTGCATTTGTTGCACCTGGACAACATGACGTCTTGAATCTTCACTATGAGGTTTCACTGCTTTTACACTTACACCGATTATAATAGCAATTGAAAGGCATTATTTAGCTGTTCTGCTGATTTGGCATCTTCTGCTTATTAATGGTGGTGAGGATAGAAACTGAGGCCAGAAGTCGGAGCTGGGAATGATGTCACACCTGAGTTAATCGCGTTCCAGTGCACTGCCAGTTCAAGCCAGGTTCATTCTTATCCATTGTTAGCAGCACCGGTTGATAACACATTATGCAGTATTTTGTGCCTGTAAGCATCGGAGCAACATGTCCACGGATAGAGGTTGGACAGTACTGTTTGTATGACCGATTCAAGAAGACAGAAATTAGACATAAGTGCTAATAAGCAGCATGAAACTACAGCTTTGACTTTTGTTGGTGGATGCAGCCATCTTGAATTCTGAGGTCAGGGTTGAAGAGGGTCCTCTAACTTTCCAAGTCGGAAGCCTGACATCAGAGGGCATTCCAATTGAAACTGCTGAGAGACTTGTTTATTCTCGCCAATCACATTTCATTGTAATGTTGACCCTGTGCTAACTTGCATATGACAAATAAAACTGAAACTGAAACATAAAACTGAAACCAAAATTTCTGACTGGGAACTCGGAGATTCTGACTTCAGAAATGGACGGCACCATAACTCCTCCACGCTTTATTTCCTGTGCTTTGCTCTCCAGTCTGATTCTGTGTTTATTTTTTTTTTATTTGTGGTCTGGAAGTCATGACCACAAGGGTGGCAGTCATGTCTCTTATTTCTCTGCACGCGCCTGAGGGCTCAGCCTGGCGATAGTCGCTCCCTGTTAAACGAGGGCTCAGCCTGGCGATAGTCGCTCCCTGTTAAACGAGGGCTCAGCCTGGCGATAGTCGCTCCCTGTTAAACGAGGGCTCAGCCTGGCGATAGTCGCTCCCTGTTAA